ATTTTAGGAGAACAACTTACTCCCGCTCTCTTCGGTCTATCCCTTGTCCTATTCCGCCTTTACACTTGTCCAAATTGACTTCCTTCTCATTATAAAAGACTGATCTGAAATACATATTCTGGTTGTTCTCCCTTTCTTTAATTCCATCTATGGAATTCCGATATGTTTAAAGACCAACACTATGATCAGACCATAGTGGCAGGGGCAGTACCAAACCTGAGTGGACTCCCACCTTACCCACCAACACTGGTCATCTTTAATCCCAATTTCTTTTAGCTTTGCTCAGAAACTCAGTTTCTTTAATTTCATAATGGGGACCTGCTTTTCCTAGTATTTCCTTCTACTTGTTCCATGCGCAATAATATTACAAGAACCTGTCATTAGTCATGTTGTCTGTTAATAAAGTATTAAATTTTTTTACTTTTTTGGCCCAACTTTACTGTTGATATTTTTTAAACAATAGTTGATGTTTATGACTTTCTTACTATTTTGCTGTAAAGGAAATCTAATCCCACTCCACCATATTTTTACACGTTCAGAGTTCCTGTTCTTCGCACTACCTATAGATTTTATACAATATTCTGAAGTTCTGGACAGATATTTGTCAATACTTTTGTTATTTAAAGTAATACATGCCGTAAAGCTTTATTTTAATCTCTTTTGGGAATATATGCTAATTTGTAGAGAATTGTATGCATTAGGTAAACATACGCTAATGTAATTTTTATTTAGAGAATTTAAATTTGAGTTGTTGTGTCTACAAAATGTGTACATTACTAATGGTTAAGAAATATTCTAAATAGACATTTATTCTTAGGGTCGTATTTATTCACGTCTAAACAGTGTTGCTTTGAAAAATAAAAAAATCCTAAATTTTATTCTATTCGTTTCAGGTGTGTGTAAACTTGATGGTGTAAGCGAAAGAGAGAGGCCAAACGTGAAGCAAACCCTAATTGCTTCCTACAACACACTGCTGGCTCCAAAAGTTAAAGCTGCTTGCATGGAGACCACCCCTGTTCCGGCTAAAGATTCGCATTTCGTCGGCAGCCATTGTTCCGAAGAAGGCCGGTGTAGCAACAGATTTGATCTCCACTTGGTTCTATCAGTTTAGCATTCTGCTTCAAAGAAGCCTTAAAGAAAGAAAGCAAGAATCTTTCAACCCCCTCAGAGTGTTCCAAGTAATCACCGCCGCCATGCTGGCCGGTTTAATGTGGTGGCACTCGGATTATCAAGATATCCAAGATCGCCTAGGTCTCCTCTTCTTCATTTCCATCTTTTGGGGCGTCTTGCCATCGTTCAATGCAGTATTTGCGTTTCCTCAAGAACGTGCCATCTTCATGAAGGAGCGTGCTTCGGGTATGTACACCCTATCTTCCTATTTCATGGCACGGATAATCGGAGACCTCCCGATGGAGCTCATTCTCCCCACGGTTTTCCTTCTCGTAACATATTGGATGACCGGATTGAAACCCGATTTGGTGTCATTTCTACTGACATTGTTGGTTCTTCTCGGCTACGTGCTCGTGTCTCAAGGGCTCGGCCTCTCATTAGGCGCATTGATCATGGATGCCAAACAGGCTTCGACCATAGTTACAGTCACAATGCTAGCATTTGTTCTAACGGGAGGATTCTACGTGCATAAGATTCCATCATGTATGACATGGATCAAGTATGCCTCTACTACATATTACAGCTATAAGCTGTTTATCAACATCCAATACGGCGACGGAAAGAAAGTGTCGTCCCAGTTGGGCTGCTCGCACCACGGAAGTAGTACGGTTAGCTGCAAGTTGATCGATCAAGACATCGTGGGGCAAATCAGGCCTGAACTAAGCGTCGGAATCTTGATTCTAATGTTCGTAGGATATAGGTTGTTCGCTTACCTTGCATTGAGGCGCATCAAAGGCTGAGAGCCTTTGTATTTGGTTACAGATTCTTGTTATTCGTACAAAGGCCTTAAAATTGTAAATTTTGTCAAGTTGGCCTGGAAAAATATTTGTTCAGGTTGGTTTAATTTATGCTTAGTGCGAATTTGGGTCACGCTAACTGTGTCAGAGGAATCAAAAAGTAAAGCTTTTCATTTCAGAACATAGAAAGAATCTGTTTGCATTTCTGCAAGAAACTTGCAGTTTTTCTTCTTTGCTCTCTTTCAATAGAATATGCAAATTAGTGGCTTAATGTTATGCTAATCCGTTATTTTTTTTAAGCAACCCAAAATCAAAATTTTATCTTTAACCGATATACAATTTCTGACTCCATACTAATCATGAAACAAAGTGAGCCCGCTCTATGACAATCTCTGAAAAGAACAATCAGAAAAGGCCCAGTCCATCCGACGGATATGGTTAGCCAGACTTTGTATCGTTTGTTGCTTTGGACGTGGGAAAAAAGTAACCAGTACCCCAAAAAATAATAATTAATTAATATATTTAATTTAATAAAATGTTAATTAGAGGAATTTCGCATCAATAATAAATTCAATCAAGTAAGAAAACCAATAAATTGTTTAATTTAATAAAATCAATTAACAAGGAATTATAGGTAATTTTCAAAATTATCAAGGCATATATGTTGTTCCTTATTAGTAATTTGAGAATTAGAAAAATTATAATAACAATGTATTAGTCAATCGTTGTTTTCAATAAAGATGAGGATAGATGCAATCAAGGAAAATCCAATATCAAAAAATAATTTAATCAACGAAATCGAATTACTTAATAAATTTGTTCACAAAATAAAATACATTATTTGGTAACATGACATTGAACTTCTTTACTAGTTTAATATAATGTGCATGTTATAGTTAGGATAGTTATAAGATATTAGTGGCCTACTATATAAATTAATTTATAAGACGTGTTTTAACATGGTAAAATTTTGTTAACCAACCTAGGAATGAATAAAATATCCTTTTACAATAACTAACTATTAATGAACAACCTACCAAATAGTTAACCTCAAAACCTAAAGGCTACAAAATCCTTATCCCTAATTAATTGATTAGAGGGGTTGAGGGGTAATTAGGTTTCTAATTTTAGGGTTGGAGGCTATCAAGCCAAACCCAAGGCTTAGACAGCTTAAGATGTGCAGGCGTATGCTTAACACAGTCCATACTCTGTATATATCTATTAGTACAGTAGAAGCAGGATGAACCCAGGGTGACGATTGAAGTAGTCACCAAATTTTTAATTATCATATATTTTATATTTTTTTATATTTTTTATGGATAATTCATTTTTCTCTTAGAATTTTATAAGTTCATCACTCTTAATATTTCAAACGTTCACCCATAATTTTTTAAAATATCGCGTATGTCATTGGATAGACTAAACCTATCCCAGAATAATATTACTTGTCGAGGCTACCAATAATCTTGATTCACTAATCATCAGTTCAACACTCCAACAACTAAATAATCTTGTTTACTTTTTACTGCATTCTTCTATAATCAAGATTATATGGTTCTTTGCTATATATAAATATATAAAGATTAAGAATGGTCAAATTAACCTACAAAAGAATTAAAACTAATTTCATAGTTAGTGTTGTTTTAGATTACTTTTTTTAGGCCTAATGACATTTTTTTACCACTGGATTTGTTTTAAAAAAAAACATTCTAGTCCTTAAATTCTTTTAATATATTTTGGCCCTTGAATTTTTAATTTTTTTAATCCAATTGAGCCTTTTGACTAAAAAAGTAATAGATTTGTATTTTTTTATCAAGTTGACATCAATATTAGAGAAAAAAAGAACAAAATAGCTGATGTTAGCTTAACATGTCTAGTATTTTTTTCAGTCGATTGGCCCAATTTGATAAAAAGTTAAAATTCGTTGATCAAAAGAAGTGAAAAAAATATTTAAAGACTAAAATGTTTTTTCTAACAAAATTGAGGGGGGGGGATGTCTTTAGGCCTTTATTCTAGAACTCAACCTAGAGATTCTCTATTAATTATTCAATTGATAATATAGTTTTGATATAATTATATGGTAATTATAAATAGATTGTTATTTATTATTTGATAAAACAAAACATTGTTTAAGTAATCAATTAAATCCATTTTAGAGTGAATAATTTTAGTTTAAGGTAAAAAGAAGATAAGCTAGTTAAAATGTTATGGACGATATATAAATTGATGTAAAATTTCAACATTTTAGATACATGCTATCAATTTCCATGTATATATCCCAATGTATGTTTCAAGAATATTTTAATTAACGTATTATTTTTTACCTTAAACCAATTTTTTCATTTTAAAATTTACTAAAATAAAATTAATTTAAGTTTGAATTGTTACATATGATTTTTCATCTACTTCTAATATTATTATAATGAATATTATCTATTAAATATTATAGCGTTAATCAATATAATCGTAAATGAGTTGAGTTTGAATAAACAAACATATGTTCATGTTTATTTGTGTATTTATGTTAAAACTTGTTGATGTTTAGAGAACACATGTTTATGTTAAAACATATGTTAAATTTGACAATCTCATAATATAACGTTATCATATTTTTATTACAAAATTCGTATTAAAATTTTGATTCCCACATAAACATTATTTTTAAGACAAACTATTTATTTACGGGTCAATTTGTAACTTTTTAAAATTATCATTTTTGGTCCCTAAATATTTTCAAATTTTATACTTTAGTCATCAAACTTTCATAATTTTCATTTTAGTCACTATCTAAATTTTGGGATATTACAACTTTTTCTATACAAATTTGGGTCAATAGAATTTAATTCCAATTGTGTTAATGGGGGACTATCTTGCTTGCGTTTGTTATTTTTCTTTTGCTTCCTCGAGTATGTTTAGTTTTTGTTGTGTGCGGGACTTGGTAGTTCCAGGTTGTAAATTTATATTCGTGTGTTCGGACGTCTGATTTTGGAGATTTCTAATATATTTAATGGGTTAGGAGGTGCCAAAGCTATTGATGGAAAAAAACTTGAAAGGTCAATTTTGATCAATCAAAATCTTTAAGGGGCTAAATTGACTATTAAGCCATAATAAACCAATAAATAAGAGGAAGCTCATAGAACACCATATGGCAACACAAATTGATCTTCCTCTTCATTTTCTCTAAAGCAATGGGTTCCTCCTCAACTCAAATCGGGCATCAGCAGACGGCAGCAAAAGAATGTGGCCCCGTAGTCCCGGTAGCCAAATACCCTTCATTTTCTTCGTCACTTTCATCATCATCGTCATCATCTTCACTGGGATCTTCGTATTTTCCCGATGATTCGCCTTTCAGTCCCGGAACTCCATTCCGGTTTTCAGGTGTACCATTCTCTTGGGAACATTTACCAGGGATCCCAAAGAAGCTACAAAATCACAGCAAAAAGGACTACTCCATGAAGTTGCTGCCATTGCCTCCACAGACTATCCCACGACCCTCAAAAACCAGCAGTTTCGAAGACATGCTAACAAGGAAGAAACCATCCGCCGGCGTCTCCGAGAGTTTCCGGCGAATGGATCCTTTTTTCGCGGCGTTGATTGAGTGTTCCAAGGAAGACGGTGATCAAGAAACCGACAGAAATCTCTGGAACGGAGCTAAGGTAACGAGAAGCGTGAGTGACAGGTTTGGGTTCATCAATCTTTACAGTTCGTGTAAAAGAAGTTGCACAGTTTCAGAATCAATAGTGTATCTTCCGAGGTCTCGAAGAACTGCAGATTATGACCTCATCAATCACCGTCGTTCTCGTTAAATGTACCCTAATTACGCAAATCGATAATCACATTGACATGGTGGTGCTGTGATCATGATGTTAAATAAGAAAACAACTTAGATTCCTTTACTATTTTTTTTCCTCCTTTGCATATGAAGAAGACAAGGGATGATGTCTTCGGGCACAAAGTCATTTGTAATATAATATTAATGGAAAGCTGAAATTATTAGATGTCAGTGTATTATTTAATGTCTTTTTGGTATTATAATAGTATTTATAGAAGGTTCTCTGTCTTTACATAAAAGATATTTGTAAAATTATACATAGAACTGTACGTGGATACTATAAATCAATGAGTATGCGGTGCTTTGGTTTAACGAGGGACTTGAGGTGATTTAGAAGAAACATGGATACAATAATTTCATTGGTTTTGCTGTATATTCCATGCGGTGTTTATGGACAATACGAGTGAAGATTACATTACCCCATGTGGGAGCAAAGAAAAAGACAGATGTTGAGAAAATTCAACTTCTTAGGTTGTTCAACTACCTGCATGTTTCTGGGTTTGAGATGATGTTTCCTTTTTTTTTTTATAATTTAAGTGATTATAAAATAATATCTGATTTAAAATCGAGAATCAATAAATTCAGTTTAAAATGATGTTATTCTATAGTGCTTTGAAATTTTATAGTTTTAAATCATGAAAATGTTGGTTTTTTCCCTGTTGAAAACAAAAGTTTCTCAGATGTATAATTATAGAAAGCGGGGTCGGTACAAAAGAAGTAAAAGCCTATAATAGAGACAATGGTACATCTTACCAAAATTTTGGTCATGTCATCGGTCAAAGCAAGAGTAAATAAGGTTGTCGGTAACAAAATATTATAATAAATGAAAAAAAGTTGTTGAATTCTAAGATTAATGTAGAATAAAAAGTATTATAATGGAAAATATATTGAAATAAAGAATTAAGTGTGGATTTATTCCAAAAACAAGTTAAAAGAATTAAACCAATGTAATAGGAGTATTAAACAGCATTTGAAAATCACAAAGAGATGGAGACATGAGGAGGGTATTAGAAAAAATGTGACAGAAGTGGCATCCAATTGATAGATATATTTAACATTTTAATTATATATTCACATTGATTTTGACAAGAGTTTGATTTATTTCCTATAAAATTATTAATAAATTTTAAATAACGGACATAACAATTTTAATATATTTTTATAACCACAAAATTTTAATTTATTAATTAACTAATTTATATCGGTTATTACATAAGTTTATTATGAGGACACCTTCTTAACTCAAAATTTTTTCATTATATTAATTGATTGTCGGTAAAAATCTTAGGGTAAGCTACACGTTTAGTACCACAACTATCACTTTTATTTTGTTTTGGTCACTCAATTATTATTTTAGAATTATACATAATGTTTAGTTTTAGTTTCATTTTGGTCACCCGCCGTTAAAAGATTAACATAATTGTTGACGTGAATTTTTATTTTTATTTTTTTCAATGATGATATTGTACTACTTTATGACGACAAGTCAACATCATCGTTAATTATTCAACGACGTGTGGCCAAAATAAAATCAAAACTTAAACGTTAGGCATGATTTTTTTAAAAAAATAGTTGTGTGACCAAAAAAGATAAAAACAATAGTTTAGATACTAAATGTGTAGTTTACCAAAATTTTGATATTTTTAATAGAGAAAAAAGTCAACAAAAGATATAAAAGGTAAATGAAGAGGCGTGTTGTATTTTAATAGGGCAATAAAGAGGCGTGATGTGGGTAGGGAACAGGGAAGCATAAAAGGATCCTTTAGGGTACGGATAATAATATATGGGTGTGTGCGCATGAGGACCTGTCCCTCCTTCATCATCACTTATGCTCATGCACCTTCCTTCTAATTCACTTTATCAAAATTGAAAATATTTGATTCCACTTGCCACTTCCAATTTTTATCTAATTTGAAATTATTCAATTAGGTTCTCCACATTTTACATCTCACTCAATTAACTCCTTAATCAAATTATTATGCAGGCTCTAATGACCCTGAATAACATCTTGTTGATCATTGCTTGTTTATTGATGAATTCTATGCATTACAAGATAAAGTTTATATTCTTGTTTTCTTCTTCTTCTCAGGGTTACGGATTTTGTGATGGCAAATTTGGACCCTTATATACCCTCTGTAAGCAATAAAACTCTCGTTGATTCGTTATTTGGACCCTTATTTTTTGTCGCTACGAGCAGGAAGAATCATGTAACTGCATGACCTGCAACTGCTGCAGCTCTTTGGATGGAGAATCGTGTAGATGCGGTTCGTGTTCGAGCTGTTGCCGAGCTCCGAAATGACGGTGCTGCTCTTGTCCTCAACCTCATTGCCGGCCTTCCTCTTGCAGATCAAAATGCTCGTCTTAAATGTCCAAAGGTATGCAATTGCCGCTGCAGTTGTACAAAAACATGTTGTAACCCTTGTTACTAAACTGTTCTAAAATATGTCATTCAGTTTTTGCCAAAAGAGGATCACATGCAATGCAGATGTTTTTACTCTTAAAAAAAAATGAGTTCGGTAAAAGAAGTTAAATTCAAACTCATCGAATGAAATTAAAAACTTGAACTGAAATCACTTCGATAATTGAACAATTTCGTACAGAATAAATGAGTATGATTGAATGAACTCTTTCACATGTAAGTTGATCATTATACCCAAATCATGAACCAAAACGGGAGCGATATTTGTCTCACATATACAGCAAGTAGGCTGACTCAGTAAGTGTACTTATCAGCTGAAGCATGTTATCATTTTAAACAAAAACACTAACATAATTAGATAAAATGACGGTATTGATGTAACGTCGCTTTGGCCGAGTGGTTAGGTGTGTGCCTGCTAAGTACATTGGGTTTCCCGGGAGAGTTCGAATATCGTCAGGTGACGAGTTATTTTTCCTGCTCCTTTGTGCTGATTTTTTTCATTTTGGGTTGACCTTCGTAAGAGAGAGAATTGAAACAAGAATAAATTTCACGAAGATAAGCAAAGGCATTAATACTATGCGGTAGGAACTACGTGTTCACTCAACCCAACTTTCAGAGTTTTCAATTTATCAATAAAGTTCTGAATTCCATTTGTTTTTATTACTCTACCATTAAGTGTTTAATGCCAACACCAAAAATGATGTGTTTTAGGGTTTTATATTCCTGAAATTTAACTAAACTTGTAGTCTTCTTCTTCTCCATCCATGGCTGACATCCTACTCCACTATCATTTGATGATCGTCGATCATTATTCATGATGTAACTGGTACTAAAATATTCTCTTTTTGCCCCTCTTTCTTCTTTTTCTTCTCAATCTAGTTTCTTCGTTTGATCAACGTGAAAATCAAGTTATATTATTTTTCTCATACTTTTCAATATCACACCATTTGAATTTAGAATAAAATACTCCAATGTTGGTGAACCGAAGGGACTCCAAAAACTTGAAATTGAGAGAAAAGTGTTCGGGGTGTAAAATGATAGGAATTTGATTAAGGAGTTAATTGATTGAGATGTAAAAAGTGGAGAACCTAATTGAATAATTTCAAATCAGGGAAAAAATTAGTTAAATTTTTGATTTAATCCAGAAGCCTTAAAGTGACATGTGTTAAGGTTACCTTAAGAAATTATTTACCTTTTCTTAAACAATCCGTTCTAATTGAAAATTTAAAAATAGATTAAAAAAATGGTTGTTCACGAATAATTTTAAAGTAATTTTTTTAGACAAAAATTAGATTCAATTAAAAATATCTTAAAAGTAACATTGTGAATAAGATTGTCTTAACAAATTAGTATTTACTTTTTCTAAAACAATATGTTATGATCGAAAATTTAAATTTAAAATTAGAAATTTTTCATAGTCCCCTAAATAGAAAATTTTCATCTTAGTCCCTTTAAAATTATAGGTTTAAAATTAGAACAGTAAAATTAACTTTCCAACCTCAAAAACAACAAATTTTATTTTATTAAAATTTTAAACTAAGACGATAATAAAATGATATATTGATCTTTTAAAAATGCAAATTTTATCACATAAAGACACGCACCCTGTTACACGGATCTCAGATACAACAAAGCTACAAACCAATGACTTACGTAACAAATAATGCCATCCACATGACGACTCTCATTCCGAGATGAATAAATTTACCTTCAATGCTGACTTGGGATGGCAGGGCAGCTGTATCAAAAACACATTGAAGAAAAAAGGAGACGCCCACCTAATCAAAGCAAATCCAAAAGAGGTGGTTGTCCCGACGTTGGTTTGGCATAGGTTGTCTTTGAACCTGAACTTGCTCCCCTCCCCCTGCCCTTTCCTCTACCCACAGCTGTTGACGGTGGCGGTGCAAGTCTCGGAGCAGTCTGCCCATTCTTACTAGAACCAAATATAGATCCGATATCTGCTGATTTCTGGTTATTGTATGAAGAACTCATTGGAGCTGAAACCCGCTGGTTCTGTTTCAAGAATCCAATACTGTTCTGGGGACCTCCACCATTCAAAATATCTGCATTCGTAGGTCTTAGTGTGTCCCCAGAGTTTTGGTTGCCCAACATCCAACTGTTGCTGTTGTCTGTTTGGTGGTTCGTGGTGCTCGTAGAACTGAATCCATAATTGCCCACGCCCGGTCCCATGCTGCCATTACTAAAGGTTCCAGAATCATTTGAGGAGGTATTAGACCGTGGAGGCCAGTTAGCAAAAGGATCTAAATCTTCAAAATTTGATGACAATGATGTTCCTGCATTTAGTTGCTTCTCGCCATTGCCTGGCTCTACAGTGACACCTGAAGATGGTCGAGGAGGCCACTCGATGTCAACCGGAGGACATGAAATAGACATTTGTTGGCTAGATGCAGTAGGTATCAAGGAAGATTGAGATTGTCTGGGTGCTGATTGAATCGACTTATCACCCAGAAAAGAGTGAATGGATAAATCGTTCTTGGAAGGCTGGTGGGCAGTGTCACTGGCATCGACAGCTGCTTTGGTAGTAGGAACCCAGTCTTCATCCCATGCTGGGCTGCTTTTTGCAGAAGCCACACTTCCATTTGCTTTTCCCAAGGCTTGAGATTGAAGCCCATTGGCAGTAGTAGCATGTTTGACCTCTGGGATTCCAGAATCGGTTAAAGTAACACCCCGTTTTTCTTCTATCTTTCTGAAATAAAACAACATTAGATATCACATCATCTTCATAAGAAAATGGTTAAAGAATAATAGTATTAATTGTTACGAATCAGTGAGATAAGAGTGAGAAAGAGAGAAGAAATAATTCATCTTTTACCACGCAGGTGTACAGAGAAATAGGTTCCGAGGAAATTCAACAAAAGCACGGCAATAACAACTATACCTGAGAATATCCTTGACAAAGAACATATATTTGGCAAACTGCTGAACATTCAGCTGTTGGGCTGTAAGCAGAGGTACGAGCAGAGGAAGGACGTGCTCCACAGCAAATTCGACTCCATACTAAACGAGATGAATAGAAAACACGGATATGAGCTGTATGCCCTCTGGAGATCCTGATATACAGTGGAAAACAACTTAAACACCAAAACGTTAAGTCTATTGTTACCTGCTTGAGAATTGAGTTTGAAACTCCTAGGGTAGACATAAGCGTGGGAGCAGAATGATCAACAGCTGTGCAACGTTGAATAGTTTGCAAGACATCAAGCACAGCCTTTTTATCAAGTGTGTGTACAAACTCTCCTAAGCATAGCAAAGCACCGACTCTAACCTGCTCAAAGAAACAAAAAGGTTAAGAAAGTAATTAAAATTAATAGAAAGAATGGCTATGTGGCCTTCTTTTCTTTTTTAATGTCTGGAAATTTTCAAAAATAAAAAGGCCCTCGTCCCGCACAATATTTGAGAAACAGAAGTATGTCTCGCTTCACTCCATTCCATTGAGCATTTAGAATAATAATGGACGAGAAGAAAGAAGTTAGAATTTAAATGTCTTCCTAGAAACAACAATGACGACATTTCACTTGCTTTTCCATTACACTCAACTTTATGGACGATCTCAATCATTTTCCTCTTAAAGGCACGTCTTTTCAGGAAAATAGCAGGGATTATGCACAAGGACACCCTAAGTAAATCTGTAACGGTTTATTAATCACAGAATGCTTTTTTTTGTAACAGAGAGACTGACATAACAGTCTTTAGTCATTACAAATCTAAAAAGCAAGACTATAATTTTAATATTAAGCTAAATGCCCAAAAAAACTTATACATACCGCAGCAACAGTTGTTTTAAGAGCTAAGCCATGAACGCGAGGCAGAATGACTTGTTTCACAAGCTGAATAGAATAAATAAAGATTGAAACATTAATTTAGTACATTTAACATAAGGAATTCCAACACGAATATAATAATGTAAAAAGAAAAGGAAGAAACAAGAATGAACATGGAATTTGTTTAATTTCATACTATTAAATCCATATTTCACGTTATCCAAATTCCTACTTCAATATGTTAAAATAAGTAATTAAAAAGCTGCAATGCACTAAATATAGCTTAAAGATACTCTAAAAAAATCCATATGGCAGAACAGCTAGCTTAAAATAAAGCATAAAAATTATTTTAAATAACCTGTTGTTAAATGTTTTTATCAGAATTATAATAAAATATCGAAAAAACTATAAAAGGTAAAAAGAACTCAAAACATATTTAACCATACTTATCTTTTATACGAGCTTTTTAAAAGACAAAAGCTTAAATTCTACAATGAAATAGTTTACAGTATTGTCTGTAATTTGTGGCAGGTTGCTCATTATGATGATAAAAAGGGAATGAATCTCTTGCTACGGGGTATATCTATTTTCCCATCTGATGTGAACCTCTGTACTTACAGTGCAACCCAAAAACAATGAATGAAATCAAATGGCAATTCTAACAGTGATTCTCGCGAATTTCCAACTCCTGATTCTACTTAAACAGCAAATCAATATTTCGGTTCAATTAATACCATTGGTTCTTGATCTTCATAAGCAACGGGCTGATAATCTGTCTTTGTAACCTATTCTTGGATAATCCAAGGGTTTTCAGGGCAAGCATGTGAGGTTTGCATCTGAAGCGGGAGCTTAATTTTATAACATTTTATTTTATTATTTCAGTTTTATTTTATAATATTTATTAGTTATTATATATATGATAGACTGCTAAGGCTATTAAATATTTTTAGGGTTATTAGGTATCTTTAGGCTTTAAATCTAGGGTTAGGGTTAAAACTTTGCTTGCAAAAAAGTAAGCCTACACAAATAAGTTGAAGACTTTACAACCAACACAATTATTCTTATTATTTTCTTTAAATTAATAATAAACCTAGAGGTTCCTTATAACCCAAGTTTTCTGAAGTTTCATCTTCCCAAACCGTTAGTTCAGCCTTGTTTCTTTTGAATTAAGAGAACCATCAAAAGAAAATAAACAGATGGAGTATTTTATAAGTTGAAGAACAAAAGTAAACCTTCTTTTGAAACCTTCTTATGGCAAGTTGTTCATCAGAGAGTGGCGGTTAAGGAGGAATTGTTGAAGCGTGGAGTGGTCGGGATTGAAGATCCCTTATGTCCGTTGTGTGGCAGTTTTGGGGAAACAGTTTCACATCTTTTCCTGCAGTGTGAGGTAACTTGGGGATTGTGGGCCAGATTTTCAAATTTGTGGAACGTTTCTTGGACTATTCCAAATAACATATTAGACTGTATTATTCAGTGGGATGATCTACTTCCGAATTCTTGTATTTGGAAATTCATTCCAAGGGCCGTATTGTGATGATATGGAAAAGCAGGAATGAGGTTATTTTTAAGAAGGAAAAGTTGGATGTGGTGATGTTGTTCTTTATTGCTCGCTTTAGAATTGTGTCTTGGTTTGCTGCTAGTTTTGACACGCAGATCCCTTTTGACTCATTAGTGGGTGATCTTACTCTTGCTGATTCGGTTGATAGACAGAAGAAAGGAAGATCCCAACCTACTTGCTGGGTTCCTCCTCCAAATGGTTTCTTAAAGATCAATGTTGATGGAGCAATGGTGAAGGGCTGGACTAAAGGTGGTATAGGAGGTTTGATTAGGGATAGTAGTGGTGTGCTGATTCACTGGTTTTCTGAAAATGTTAGGGGTGGTCCTCCGATTTTGGCAGAACTTTTGGCGATAAAGAGGGGGCTGAGCTTGCTTAATGATTCAGGTTTGGTTCTTAATAAGAGGATTATTTTAGAATCGGATTCAAGTGTCGCAATGAAGTGGATCAATAATCCGGAATTAAGCAACCCTATGTTTCAATCCTTAGTGAAGGAGATCGTCTCTTTAAAGGAAGGGAAGGATATTTTGTTAAGGCTTATCTTGAGGGCTGCCAACTGGGGAGCGGATAGATTAGCTAAAGATGCATAGGTCGATTTTTGGCTTTGTTTGTGGGATGTTAGAGGGTGGATTCCCTTCGGTTCAGAAGGGATTTTGTTTTCCAGTCTTTTGTAATTAGTGTTAAGGTTTTTCAGCAGAAGGTGGTTTTTAAGTCTTATGTTTTTGTGGGGAGGTATTAAGTTGTTGTTAGGGATTGCAGTGTATTATTAATAAAATTATAGGCTCTTTTCTTCCTTCCAATGCCCCCATGTTATTTTCGTAACAGGGAGGGTAAGAAGGGGTTTTTTAATGAGGTCTAATCTTCTATAAAAAAAAAAGAACAAAAGTAAACATAATGAAAAGAGCTGGATGGACTATGAATTGTTTTTATTAAAAAACTGTACTGTGACACAAACCAACCACGTTTCTTTACATCAATCCGCTTTAAGATAAAGAAAACATGGAAGAAAAGACAGCTTCTAAGAAACAGACGCATGTTATTCGAGAAAAATGCCAAAAGAGGCTCAAAATTGTAGACTGAGTTCACCTATTAATCCTCAGACAACTTCATATTTGCTTAATTCAAATCCATACAAAATGCAGTTAAGAAAAAAAATGTACAACTCAACATCATACAACAATCGACAGGTACAAATGATTTTTACTCTTCACAGTACCCAATAATTGAAAATAACAAGCATAAATAACATCCAAGTCAATAGGAGTCCAGCAAAATCTCTGATTGTCTTCTAACAGATTTGCAGTCCATTCACGATCATTATTATTGCATGTGCAAAACATAGAGAATGCAAACTTCTGAAAATGGTAATCTTTTAAAAAATATAAAAAGATGACAATCACCTGTGTATCAAGTTGCCTGCCAAGCAATACAGATTTTCTCAAAACTTCCTCTTGAATGCGAGGATCATTATCATCATAAGCTCGAACAAGCATGGGCAATACATGGGATACTAGGTGCTCTGAACTTGTCTACAGTAATTGGAACAACTATAATTATGATTGAGCGTGATTCATAACAAAAAACCTCAGAAGAAAATGGAAAACATGGCATTGAATAAAGGAATGGTTTCAGCAATTATTATTTAGCAGGATTGTAGCACACGAGCTCAAAAATTTGAATGGCACCTCTGAAAGAAATTATATCAAGCTTCTTAGTTTACATGATTTTCTCTGTTTCAGCAATTATAGGGGCCCACTGTGAAGCATAAGATCTTTTCCTTTTTCTTGATTGTCAGTTGAAGTCAACCTAATGTTTGACTACCCTAATCAGTATTTTCTTTTAGTCTCTTTCCTTTCTAAAGAATCTCATAGTGAATATAGACTCACCACCCAAAATTGCACACCCAAAATTATCAGAAAAGTAGGTCATACTGTTCCAAACCACAGATATCTACTACATACTCACAAAATAGCAATTTCTTCATTCTCACAAAGAAAACTAGACCACTCTGTCCTCTAATTTTATTAAATGAAACAAAAAAAGAGAAGGAAATTTAGACCCTTGAGAGCATTCTTTCAGAGAGCATTCTTTCAGAGAGCATACTACTTTAGTTACCTTGTTGATAATAAGCTCCGCATGCTTCACCAGCAACAACAAGGTCTCTTCTGCAGCAGCGCTCAGGACAGGTAAAAGAGCTGGCAGTGTAACTAACTCAAAATCACTTTTATCCTACAATTTATTACAAGCAATCAGTTTATTACTCAAACAAGATAGAAAATTATGATTATACAAGATATAACTATAAGGTCTATTCAGGGTACAACTAGATTTATCACTTCATTCACATTTTGTAAACAAAGAATAAAAGAAGAAGAAGATGAAGAACTAAGAGACAATAACTCGCTCCACATTGCCCAATGATAAAGCTCAAACAAACTTTGAATAGATGAAAATTTACACATGGTTTAAAATTATATTGAAGATGTATAGAATTACTTCTGATGGCTTGCCTATGCAATTAAGAATTCATAAGTTACAAGTAACTCGATTTATAATCCAAACGTCTTACAAGTCACTATTATAAGTTTCAGCATCATTAACAGAAATTACACTTTTATCAGCTTATTTAGAATCTAGAAAAAGCATTTAGCAAGCCATAACCCAATTATACTACTCATCCCTTATAATACCCGATTTCACAAACCCAACCCAACTTCTTTCACCTGTAAGAAAAACCCTAGTCCTCAAACATTTCATTCTTTTCTCTGTAAGACTCCACATCTGCCTCGTATTCATTCTTTTCTCTCTCAGCCTCACTCTCAGTCCCTCACTGCATCACTTCCTCAACAGACTATTCACCCTCGTCTCAAGGTCTCACCCCTCACTAAACAGAAACTGTGGATATTTAAAAGCTACTCGATTGAAGGTTTTTAAAATACGCCATGCGCAAGGTAGCAAAACTAATATCCATCAAACAAAACCAGCATAACAAACTGAACCAACCAATTTATTGCCGTTCAGTTATTTTGGTTTCTTTCTCATATTTTGGTTGGTTTGGTTATTGAGAAATGTTTAGCTGGCTTGGTCTGTTTTTGATGTTTTTAATCTGAATAAACTGGATCAACCAGAATCCTCACTCCTAATGGTGTCTACGTAATACGCACTTGTTAATTTTATTTTCATGGGAAAAACTATTCATAGAGACCTTCTGTTTATCATAACCAGGGACATATTCCTAAGTAGAGCTGACAATTAAGCAAACATTAAAGTATCATACTTGGCAATGAAATTTTGTTTCTTATTAAAATATTCATTAGGTGGCACAAACAACTTAAAGAATATAAAAATTTGTCGACCAATAAACAGAAAGAAAGAGAATCGGACTACATTTTATTTCACACATAAAGCTAATTGTGGTCAGTTTAGGTAATGGCACAGAAACAGAGCTTGATTAAAAAGGATAACGTTAATCTACAATTTAGAGAGAAAATATCTAGCAAGTTTAAAATATCAAAAGATATTCCTAGTTTAACAACTAATCAAGAAAGATTAGCTTGAAGATACTTCAAAGACCAACACAATCTTCAAGCATTTTTTTTTTCATTTCAAATGCAAATAATAATAATGATAATAAGCATTCCATTGGATCAAGGATGGGGATAGAAACACCAAGTTTTATCATTTATGTGCTCTTAATAGGAGTAGAGTGAATGCCATTTCGTCTTTGAAAGTGGATGGGGAAGATATTATTACTACTAATCAGATTAGATCAATTATCTCTGAGTTTTTTAAAGTCAACTACAATTCGAATTCAGCTCTGGAAGTGGACGAATGTAATCTGAATTTCAACAAATTGACAGAGGAACAAAAGGCTGGGTTAGAGGTGGACTTTTCTGAACAGGAAGTGTGGGAAGCTGTCTTTTATTCGGATAGTGCTAAGGCACCTGGTCCGGATGGGTTTTCTATGGGTTTTTTTAAAAAAAATTTGGTCCATTTTGAAGGAGCATATCATGCAATTTGTCCAAGATTTTCATAGAGGTAAAGAATGGGAAAAGGGAGTGAATCATTCCTTTATTACTCTAATCCCTAAGAAAGCGAATCCAGAGGGAATTGAAGATTTCAGGCCTATTAGTCTTGTTGGCAGCCTTTATAAGATCATTTCTAAGGTGCTATCGAAAAGGCTTGTCTCTGTTGTTAATAGCTTGGTAAGCCCTTCACAATTCGCTTTTATTCCGGGTAGACAACTGATTGATTGTGCGCTTCTGGCAAATGAAGTCATTGCCTATTGGAGAAAACTAGGGAGAAAAGGAGTTGTTTTCAAAGCGGAGTTTAGTAGGGCATATGATTCGGTTGAGTGGCCTATCCTATTCAGAATATTGAAGGTTATGGGTTTTGGGAAAATGGATCTCATGGATTAAACGTTGTGTTTCTTCAGCTTCTATCTCGGTGTTAGTTAATGGCTATCCTACTGACGAATTCCACATTAGTAAAGGGTCGAGACAAGGGTGTAGTCTTTCACCTCTCCTGTTCAATCTAGTGGGGGAAATGTTACATCTTATGTTGATTAAGGCTACTGATTTAGGTCTTTTTCAAGGGTTCAGCATTGGTAGGGTTGGTAACTCATTTCATTTGACTCATTTACAGTTCGCAGATGATTTAATCCTTTTCTGCAGAGATTCTCCAATGCAGATTTTAAATATTAGAAGAGTATTGAGGATTTTCGGGGTCATGTCTGGGTTACATTTAAATTTGTCTAAGAGTTCGTTATTTGGAGTTAATATGGATGTTGACCTGGTTAAAGAATGGGCTACGAAAGAGAGCTGTGGAGTGGGGTCCTTTCCTATGTCTTATCTTGGTCTACCGATTGGCACTAGGAAGAATTCAGAGAGTATGTGGGATCCTGTTTTCCAGAATTTTAATAAAAGACTAGCAGGTTGGAAAGCAAAATCATTGTCGTTGGCGGGTAGACTTGTTCTAGTTAAATCTGTGCTTTCATCCTTGCCGATCTTTTTTTTTATCTATTTTCAAGATTCCTCTCAAAGTGACTAAGAAGTTGAATTCTCTGATGGCTAACTTCCTTTGGGGTGAAGACCTTGATAAGAAACGAATTCATTGGGTGAGTTGGAAGTCGGTTTGTCAACCTATTGAAGAGGGTGGCTTGGGAATCCTTGATTTAAGGGTGATAAATAGAGTCCTACTTGGGAAATGGATTTGGAAATTTGCAAATGAAAAAAGAAGCTTGTGGAAGGAGTTGATCTGCTGCAAAAACAATGTTGATGTCCTGTCCCTTTCTATTTCAGATGCGGCTTCTCCTTTTGATTCTTGGATTTGGAAAGGCATCCTAAGTAACTTTTCGAAGAATGATCAGATCGGTGACTGTTTGAGAGACAATTCAAAGATCCAAGTGGGAAATGGTCAGCCGATTGCTTTCTGGACTGATGTTTGGATCACTAGTCTGCCTTTAAATCATCAATTTCCCAGAATTTTTGCTTTGTCTACAAATAAATGGGGGAAGGTCTCTGAGTTTGGTGGGTATGTAGATAATGTTTGGGTTTGGAACATCCAGCTTAGAAGGAATTTGTGTGATTGGGAATTGGACCAGTGGATCGATCTAATGTTGTTGATTGACAAGACTGAGCTGTCATGTTCTGTTGATGATTTCCTGGGGTGGTCGGGTAAGGGGGATGGCATGTTCTCGGTCAAAGCTTGTAGATTGTCGTTATATGATAGTTCTGAAGAGAGTTTTGAGTGGAAGAAGTGGGTTTGGGATGGTTTGGCTCCGCCTAGAGTTCAAACCTTCTTATGGCATATTTGCCATCAGAAACTAGCAGTTAGAGTGGAATTGAAGAAAAGAGGGATCCCTCTAACGGAAGTACTGTGTCCATTATGTAATTCCCAGGATGAAACTATAGCTCACCTGTTCTTAACGTGTTCTGTTGCTTCGGGATTGTGGTGTAAATTTCTAAGGTTATGGGATATTTCTACTACTCTGCATCAAGATCCTTCCTCTATTCTCTTCTCATGGTCCAATCTTAGGCATAATTCTATCATTTGGAGGTTTATTCCGACTGTTATTTTCTGGTCAATCTGGAAGGCAAGAAATCTGGTTGTTTTTGAAAATGGAAAATGTGACAGTTCAGTTCTGTATTTTATCACTAGATTTAGATTGGCGAAATGGTTCTTAGCTAAACATCCTTCAGTTCGGATTCAGACAGACCTTTTAGTAGGGGATCCTACGAGGGCAGATTCTTTTCTCATTACTTCTGGTCCTAAGAAGGTTATTGGTTGGTCTCCTCCTCCAGCGGATATGTTTAAACTCAATGTTGATGGAGCAGTGACTGGCGATGGGATGCAAGGGGGTATTGGTGGTGTCTTGAGAGACTCTTTCAGCGGCTCTTTAGCTTCTTTCTCTTCTGCAGTAGGGCATGGTTTGCCTATTTTGACTGAACTGAAAGCTATTAAGGAAGGATTGGGTTTTTTCTATTCTTCAAATTGGACTAAGAAGGGAAGACTTATTATTGAGAGCGACTGCAAATGTGCAGTGGATTGGATTTTAAAGCTGCAACCTGCCCCTTCATTTTTCAGTGATCTGGTGGAGGATATTGAAGCTCTTATTACTGCTAAGGGGGTCGTTCTTAGATGGATTCCTAGGAGCTGTAATTTGGAGGCTGACAGGTTAGCTAAGCAGGGGATCGGTTAAGTGTAACAGGCTTCTTGTAATGTTTTGTGCTTTTTCGATGGGTTTGTTGTGGTTGATCCTTTGTAATAGTATTGCTAGTTTGGGAATCAAGACTCACCCTCTGATCTAGGGTACTGCTGTGTCGGTTTTGAGTAGGTTTCTGTTATAGTTTTGGTTTGCTTTGGGTTTCGAGCGCTTTATGTTGTTTATGGTTTGATGGGGGTGTGGTCCTGGTTGTTTCTTATGTATTTTATGTTGTTGAATAAAATCCTAAGGCGCTCTTTTCCTCCTTCCAATGATTAAGGAGCTTTCTCCAAGCTCCATTAATTACGAAAGGAGTTTTTAACGAGGCCTTCAATTCTTATCAAAAAAAAGATAATAAGCATTCCATTGATATGCCAAAACCTGATTAATAGCAAAACAAGCACCTGCGAGTTTGCAATCATGAGGACCATTGGCAAAATAGTTGGCTGCATAACCAAATTCCTCAGTTCTGCACAAAGAGGCGGAAGTACCTGCATTTAGAAAATTTTATGAATTGACCTGATTCTGTCTGCAAGATGCAAGAGATAATAAAACTGAACCACTGTATCAACTCCTCTAGCTCACTGAACTACAAATATCAACAAAATAAAAAGTGCAACGAACGACACGTAAAAATCTTGAGGAATATCAAATGCATCACTGAATGAGAGAGAAAGAGCCAGGGAGGAGAATTCACATATGAAGATCACTTTATAAAGTCTGTTTTCTAATATTTTCTTATTTAATTTCCCAAATATGTTTAAAGGGTCATTTTTAAAAACTAAGAGTCTAAGAACTACTTAAAACTTAAACTTGTATTACACATAAGAAAACAACAGTTAGAGAAGGAAGATAAAATCTTAACCTTATATCGCAACACACGGGAGTCAAAATCTTTCCACATATCAGATAAAGCTTTTAAAAACTCAGACTTTTGCCTGTTATCTCTCTCCTGCCAAAAAAAATGTCACCCAAGAATTAAGCATTTTACAGCACTTATTTCGAGCAAATTACTTTCAAATGATTGCGTCTAATAACATATGTTAAACGAGCGAAAATTAAAATGCATACAAGCATGTGATCGAGGAAACGAAGAGCACGCAACCTAGTATCATCTCGGAAAAATGGAGTACCTGCAAATACATTACATTAAATTCAAAATCATTAAACTAATCCAAAGAGTAGAGTTCCAATGCCAGTTCCGTAATAACTATGTGGAACTGACAGGATACTTCAAAGTTATTTGCTTTAATTTAACAACATATCATCCAAGTTATCCATCTCTGCTAAATAGCTAGATGGCTAGAGAGGGAGAGAGAGCAAAAGGCCATCTAAGATTTGAAAATTTTATGCATAATGCAACAATATAAATACTTGATAATAAGAGCCCAAGCCTTCCATTAAACACGGAAACAATAAGATTTCAACTCAAAACGGAGTCACTATCTTTTGATGAGAAGTCATATTATATAAAAAAAACAATGATTTTAATACAACCTTAATTGCCTGTTGCAGTGACTCCATGATCAAAGAACATTACAACTCATGGCAGAGGATGATTGCATCCAAGACACGCTTACAATGTTCAACTCTAAATAAACTAGCATGAGGGCTACAAGTTCTACAAATTGAAAATATTTTCCTTTTCTGTTTTTTTAACATATGAAAGTGCAAGATCAAAATTCTGAAATGCTCCAAGTAATACCAGTGAAATCAAGTGCTGATGGCCTGATAGATTCATTTGCAGAGAGCATCCTCTGTAAATCATGAATTAGTTCTGGTGGAATAGAGGAGAAGGCTTCATTGGATAAGTATGTCAATGTATTCATATACTGCAGGGAAGAAACAAAACAATCAGCCACTGGTACTACTTTAAAACAATTCAGAAAAGTGTAAAGCAGTGACGAGGAAATATGTTAATGCTAACTATATTATTACTATGGTCAAAAATAGGAGAAGACAAATAAAGAGAGAAAAATGAATGACATAGGGCTAGTAACTGACTAGCTGCAAAGTGCAAAAGGATATACTTTCAACATGTTTATTTGAGGTTGTTGAATTACAATGTCTTTAAAACAGTCTTTGAAACACATATATCTCTAATTTGCATGAGAGAACAAATGGACAGCATGTTTGAAACATTGCCAACATCTGAAAGTGGGGAGCACATATATATATATATATATGAGTGGCTAATGATACAGATTGCAGTATTTAATTTCTTTTACATTTTTTTCTCTATTTTCAATAATTATACCTTTACTAGTAATAAAGTGGATAATATCAAACTCTCTATTCTTAATTTTTGATTGCAGATGCTGTGATTTCTCAAATTTCTAATACTTCTAGCAATGTTGTAGATAAGATTTTTGAACAATAGGGTGTCCATCAATGAAATGCATATCCAAACGAATTTCTTTTCTAATAGTCAATTAAGTTGATATTAATGAATTTCTTTTTCAATCAAAAAAGAAAGGAACCAAACAACTAAATTTGAGAGAAAACTTTCTTGAATATAAACATGACAGGAAAAGGTTAATTTTGCTTACAGAAAACAAAAATTGGATCAATTCAAAAGGATAAAACTTTAAATTAGTAAGTACCATCTTGACATTGTTGTGACAATCAAACAAAGGCTTTCGAGCAATTAAATGGTAGGTGAGGCATCCAAAGCTGAAAATGTCAGAAGAACATCCATCTGAAGATGCTTTACTGCGAACCAGTTCAGGTGCAGTGTAATCCAATGATGGCTGAAGAGGAATGACAGAATCTTCAGTATCATATTCCTGCACAGACCATATGAAATCAGAATATAATAGCGAAATACAGATCATTACTGCAAAATGGCAACGCCATCCATCATGACCAATGACTTGATAAATTAACATAGGGAGCATACTAATATTCACAAAGAGAAAGGCTCGCATAGCCAACAAGTCAAAATGGAACACATAAGATAGCAAAACCTAAAAGGTAGAAAGAAAATTACTTGAAATAGAAGCTAATAATGTTGATAAAAAAAGGAGTCAAAATGGCATTCCTAAATGCAAAAACAGCAATAAATATGATATGTATGATCATATGCAAAATTTATGATATCATATTAAGACATTAAACAGAGGACATTCATATCACAGTGCTAAGGCTAACCTAAGAAAAGAAGTCACATAAGCAAATTATCAATAGTGTAGTAAACTATGTTCACGAGTTGAGCATTAGAAGTACAGATGAGCTAGACATGTAAATTCAAGTTTTTCCTTATATATAAACAGCCAAACATCCATGCACACATCTACCGGAAGAGCTAAAGAAAATGGGCTTTTCATACTTCTACCTTGTTTTAAATTTTGATTTCAGTAGGGTCAAGTACAATGATTTCAAGTTATATGAAAAATGTTCTCATTTTTCTTTTGAGTACAAGGAGTAGCATTTCTTCCCAAACTCCATCCCCGCCATTACTACTTGAGCTAAACCCATAAAATATCAAAAGTTTTACTTACAGCATAATGGAAGGCTGGTACACTCGAGGCCTGATCTTTTGAGATAGAAAAACCAAACCCACCAAGCTTCCAAGCTCCATGTGATGTAATCAAGACATTCTGCATAGTGCAAAGTAGTATTTAGACAAACATATACAGCAGTTATGTTCCCTACCCACCACAATCTATCCAGCAGCCTAAAAGGGAACACTTTATAAATTCTTATCTACAATCAAAATTTTATTAAAAGAAGTAATAAAAAATGACACAAGGAGTTGTAGGCCTAACATGCTAAAAAATAGATGAAATTTTTCCCCAAAAAAAAGGAACAAGAGGATAAATCAATGTGGACAGCTCATAAACCACCAGTAGTTATTTACAACAGAAAATCAAAATTAATTTGTGGAAAAGGGAAACAAAGATTCTGAAGCATTACCAACAGCCATATTATTAGAAATCAGGAAAAATTACAAAACAAAACATTAAAAAGGCAAAGAAGTAACCTCGGGTGATATAGCGCAATGAATAAGATGTGCATTGTTATGAAGAAAATCCAAGGTTTCTGCAATCTGAAGCAAACCATGCTTCACCTCCAACAAACTCATTTCCTGTGAAGCAGATATTCTTTAAGTTTTCTATAATCATAAAAGATATAATGGTGAAGACATAACATGATGGTAGATAATTCAAGCACTTACCATTCCCAGTGAAATTTTGAAAACAATTTTTACATCTTATACAAAAACATGAGGAATCTAAGACAGGGATATTCAATGTTCGAATGCAAGAGGGTCAATTTTCCAACTCATAACTCAATGTTATAGCAATGTGTTCATATAGAGCAAAACGAAAGAAGATTATAGTGAAAGGGAATAAAATATTATTAGTTATCCTATTTGGGAATTTGTTCTTGAAAGGTTAGGACTTAGGAGATCGTTTGACAATGAAACTACAACTCACAACATCCCTTAAATTCCATAGAATCAAACAGGTTCTAAAGTATTCCACTTCAAAGATTTCTGCTTGTGATTCTTTCAAACCATTAAAAACATAAGTTGATAATAATTTCAAAATAAGTTATAGCTGTAATAGCACCAAAACTTAAAAACTCTTTGTCCACTCTGAGAAAAAAAATATTGTTTACTACTCAATTCCACTCCGGTAATCTTTCCATTTTCAAACATTCCTACATATTGTTGGATGCATTAAGGTTGAGAACCCCAACCTACTAAAAATATTCAAACACCCAATTCAGTAGGATCCACAAATTACGATGGTTGTCCAAACACGCCACAATTGTGTAATTATACCCAAATTCAATTACAGAGTGACTTTCCGAACGTGCCTTAAATTGGATCGAGCACAAAATTGATTCTAGAATACTAAGACCAAAATAACAAGACTTAATCCTAAAGAACTCGGTTTGTGCTTGCACTGCCGATCCCTACCCCAGATAAAATTGGGTTGCAGTACGCCTGTGACAACCAGTGTAAACCTCATCATGTCTTTTAATATGGATCAAAATCCTTAGAGAACTACGTTACAGAATATAGACATTTACGGCATTAAAAAAGTAGTACTACACAACTTGGTTCGCTTAGTAGGATTCAAGATTTGGATAAACCATTTAACATTCAATCATTGATACCAAGCATTGGAGTAATTCAAATTTTTGAAACTGAATCAGGAGAAAGTAAGTAGAGCAGGTACCATCCCTTTAAGGTCCTTAGGAACCTTGGTAGTATTCTCGACATTCCCAAGAGTATTAGCCACCGACGCAAACAGAGGCTCCGTAACCATTGCCATGGCATTCTTATTCTCATCCAGAGCCTGCACCACGTGGACCACTCCTGGATGCCTCAGTCTGACCAGCTTCGCTGCATCGGCCCGTATCAGATCCAAGAATGAATCTTCGGCCACCTTGGAGAGGCCCGCACGAGCGCGTGCCTCCGACAGAACCTTCTTATCCAGAAGCCAAACACATACCGTGGGATACTGGTGGGGACGCGTTCCGTCACGCGCCTTGGATGAGTACAACTTCCAGGCAAGACCTGGCCCTGCGGAACCGATCTGGTCAAGGAGTTCATAGTCCTGGAGAGCTTTGGGACCGGTTACCTCCTGCACGGTTGTTTGAACGGTTTTCTCGATAACGGCAGCCGTTTTGGCCAGAGCTTGCGTAAGGGTTTTCATGTTGATCGACATTTTTGTGAGTTTTGTTTGTGTTTCGCATAAAAAATCAAGAAATAAACAATTGATTTATGGATGAGGAAGGAAGCAACAAACAAAGAATTTAAGGTCCCTTTGGATGGATGGATCGGAGTCAGACTTTGGTTTCCGGTTTCTAACCTCCCCCCTATCGGTTTTCTATCTTTTGTAGATTCGTTTAATTTTCCTCTTCTTCTTCCTTTTTCAATTATTTATTCTTCTTTACTGTGTATATTTCTACTATTTACCTTCGCAAGTAAAACGTGAATTTAGTAATAGTAATGTCAAGGAAGCCAAACCATTTGGTCAATCATTGAATTGACCAAAAATATACTTGGTAGTTGACTAATAATAGTAATATTTATATATATTATTGATTGAATACTAATTTGAATTATATTATTATTATAAGTTTAAATATGTTTATATTATTTTTCATTTATATTGATTTTAAATTTATGTTAAATGGTGGAGATTACAAATCGAATAAAAAAATTAAAGTTTTAATTTGAGTTTTATTGATTTCAAAAAAAAATTAAATTAAGAAGAAGAAAAGGGAAAAAAATAATATTTTGGTATTAATTATGTTATTACATGATCGACCGACGACCATCGAATGACAATACAAAAGAATGTTGATTATGAAAATGAAAATTAATAAAATGTTAAATTAATTTCATAATAAATCTGAACAAAACATAAAATGTTACTGCTTAAATTTTGAAAATATTGTGGCGGAAAACAATTGAAAATTATATTTTATGAAACTCGTCACGAGAGCATGACGAGTTTAAAAAACGTTGTAACAAATTACCCGTATCCCAAATTAATTTTTTAATACCTATATTTTTCTAATTTTTTCACGTTTGGATTATTTGTCCAACGATTCTCCATTTCACTTCTATCATTACACAATTAACAATTAAGTGATAAAAATAAATTTAAAATTGAATATTAAAATCAAGAATTTTAAACTTAAGCTATTGGAACATAAACAAATACAATTGTATGATTAAATATGTAGTTAACGCAAAATAAATAATAACCTTTTACCAAAAGAAATTATCCACCTCTTCACATCAACCTATTCGTATGATTTCTGGTCAAAATAAATTTTAAAAAATTGCGGAGTATGTAAATTTGTATTAGTAAACACAGTACCTCCATTGAAGTGATCTTTCCCATGCCTTTAAAGGATTCAATGAAACTAATCCCACTCTCCTGCATTGGGTTGAAACGAACCCTAATATGGTATCTAGTTCCAACCCCGAGTCTTAACTCTCGGAAACACTGTCTCTGAAATTTCAATAAAACCCGCAACAGCAATGAATTTGAAAGATCAAAGGCACGAGAAAATTAGTTTCTGATAAAATATTGATCGATTTATTGATGAGGATCAAAGATCAAGATCTAAATCTTGATTACATTATGGAAAACTTGGTTTGTATTATTTTGACAATGGAAGCTGCGACAACGGATACATCATGCACCACTTTGTTCATATCAGATAGCGGCGATTTGGCCGGGAACTCGATTTCACATGAGTTGGCCTCTATGGCTGCATCATTGGCGCCTTTCTCCGCAGATTTGTAGTTACCCGTTTTAAGAGCTTCGTTTATTTCAGGGACATCTCCCCTGATGATCACGTTATAGCGCTCGGCGCAGGATGTCAAGGCCTTCTTCATCACGGGGTTGAGTGAAAGACCGTCCTGAAGTAGCTCGTCGATAAGATCGAGTGTCTCGGTTGCTTGAGTTTTGAGTGATTCCACCACGATTTGAGCTAGTTTATTGACGTTGGCGTCGCGGCTTTCGGGACTCGGTTTTAGGGACCACATGCAAAGATCATAGAAGGGTGTTTGTCTGCAGGTTCTCTCTATCAGGTTCAGTTTGCCTAGAAGAAGGGTTGGACGGAAGGCGTTAACCGGAAGGAACATATGGAACACAAACAATATTATCAAACTCTTCATCTTGGGTATAGTTGATTAGGAATAGAATTATTGATTACTGAATGCATGCTTGGTTTTCATCGCAATTGTTCTTTTTATAGTGGACTGTCATTAACCAAGATTATTTTGACCAAATCATCCATCCTGTTGAAATGCTATTAGTGAGGTTTGCCCTTGAAGCTCGCACTATCCTTGAGGAATGCCCTCTAGCCAAAAGTCTCCTCATTTGAGCGAAAACCATGTTGAAGTCAAGAGGATGTAATCCGGCCTTGGCCCATTTCTTTCATTATAGATAGGATCTTGCTAATTTTGACTGAACCAATTCAAGTTTTAAACTATTCTAAAACTCTATTTTACATTGTTTGTGTTTAACACTTGAATATTTAGGTACAAACCACTTCAAATTCATGTCAAAATAATATTTAACATACAAATTCTAATAATTCAGATTGAATTTTTAATTCATTAAATAAGTCTAAAAAATAATACCAAAAATTGAGTGTTTTGTTTACGACATGAAGAGGGGTATATAATGAATAAGGATTTAGCACTCTATGTGACATTAAAGTGCTTTGTTCGCTTTGTGGTTTACTGATGGATGGGTTTGATTAAGAGTTTTTTAGATGGGCTCTCATAGATTTCAAAGAGAATGGACTTCTTCTCAAGGAGAGAGATGAGTATTATGCAAGTTCTCTCTCTAAGGAATCAGGGAGAAGAATGACGAAGTTATGCATTATAGAACCATGGCCAAATAAATTCTTGTTAAAATTTCAGGGGTTTCGTTTATCATGAAGTATCGGAAGATGCATTCCTCCTATAATGAGAGTTATTAAGGGTTTTTTGAGAATCTGAAAGGTATCATATATTTAAAACTTACTGTACAAAAGTTTATATTTCAAATAGAACGATTTAAATTATAAGGATTCAATTATTCCTAATTCATTTCTCAATTGTCAAATATAATACACAACGACATAGAAGGTTAATAAAATATTTGCGTTCGAGCTAGTAAAAATAATCATTTTAATATTAATTTGTTTTTCATCTTTTGGTTTTAAATTTTAATTTTTTTCATCAATATAAATGTTAAAAATAAATTTAAAAATGAAAAATATAAATAAATATAATTAAAGTATGAAAAGGACATTGAATTGATAAACAATATTAAAAATTTAAAGAAGTGATTAGGGGCACAAATTATGGGTGTCATATTTGAGTATTTGACGAAACCCTTGGTTTATAAGGAAATAAATATATTGGTTTCCACAAATTAGTATGTTTCTATAAACAAGCTCAGGGAAGGTTGTGTTATAAATGAGATGAACATTGTGAATAAAATGAAAAAACAAAAACAAAAGAATTAAGGGAGGAGAAAAGATGTCTGGTTGGCCACGTTATCCACCATGCGTAAGTGGTACTTGCACTGTTCTTCCATCGTTTTCATGATTTAGATTTTGGTTAAATGAATGTGGTTGGCTTGCAGGACATAAGGCCAGGTGGCCTGAACTGGTCGGGAAGAAACAAGCAGAAGCACAGGCTACAATCCAAAGAGAAAACTCACAAGTGACTGTTGTCATACTATCACCTGGAAGAGTTGGATTGCCTATTTTTTGCTGCAATCGTGTTTATGTTGCCGTTGACGCCAATGGCAATGTAGCCAATATCCCCACTTCGGCTAACCTCAAACAAACTACCCATGCAACTATTATAATAAGAGTTTATGCAATAATAATAAGAGTAGTCTCTTTTCATCATCTCTCTCAAATATCCCATATTATTTTATCTTTTATTCCACAAAATTTTTCGACGTTATATTTCATTTTCTGCGGACAATAACAAACCTTGATTATACTTTTGAAGGATGCTTACGGAAGCATGCATATTTTTTTTTATGTATGTATGATATATTGGACCAAGAAGCAATAAAATATTATTTTATCTTGGAATTCCAATCTAAAAACAAAACATTGGTACTGATCCTCTCAAGAATTTAAATAATGAACAAGTGTAACGTCACTTAAAAGATTGGTCATTTGTTAGATCATTGGTTGGTTGTTCTTCAAATATTGTGTTATCTAAAGCTTTCACTTGGCCAAGGACCAAGAGAAACCGTACGACATTTCGTTTGTTGAGACAGGATGGCAACCTATGGTAAGTGACTGCTCGTAGGTCTCTCATTAGCAACCGGTAACTCTGTTTTAGGATAGTTAGATTGCACGACATATTGCCAATAATTGAACCTATCATATACAAACTAAACACATTGAGGAGGGCAATCATTTTGTTCAAATTTTGCATTCAACAAGATCAGCTTATCTGTCATCTCATCTCCACACAATATCAACTTGTTCAATATCTAATTAAATGTTTACCTCTCCATCAATCTCAAATCCTAATTGTCAAGTTGAGCAACTCCAAAGGATGGCATGAAACACGTCGGAGCAAGGAAATGAGGGAAAAAACATGCCAAACTTCCGCATACAGTTACTTTTTGGAGGGTGAATGAGATAATTTTCCTTAAAGCGTATAAAGAATTGATGGTAACAGATGTGACTTGCTAATAACCATATCATAAACTCACTATTGAATTTGAAACTCTTATTCCCCAACCCCAAAAAAACCAAAAAGGAAAAGGAAATTGAACTACTTACTGTATTACACAAGTCCAAGTATATAATGTGATCCACGGGATATATTTAGTTGATGGAAATCACCAAGAAACTATCTTAAATATTGTTTTTATTTATGCAGCTAGAGATCCAAAATTCACCTCCTTTGCTCAGTTGCATGTGTATGGGCAGCATCAATTTGTGCAAACACATTTTCCTTGGCCACATTCCCATTAACCTGAAAATCAAACAATATATTCTGATTAAAAAAAATCTAAGATAACTGAACTTTGTAGATCCCAGAAACCAGTTTTCCAGTCAAAATTTGAATTTAGCAGAATATTGCCTCATCTTTGGAATGGTCTCAAACAATAAGGCAGCCTGTATATTTCATGATGATAACATGAAAATACCTTCATCTTTTCATTTTAATCCTCAGACATAGTTACCAGAAAATACTAATCTTGAAATGAATTAACACATCAAGAATGGTATCTTACGCGGATACTGGTTTACACTTTGAAAGATCAATAATATAAACAATAAGAACAAAAACCAGGATTTAACCACATCACCGTAGCAAGAAGAACAAATTGAAACCTGAAACTAATTGTATTTGTCGACAAATAACTGAGATCCCACAAAAAGGAATCATGACTTAGTGCATCATCATGCTTAGACAGTCTGGATTCTATTTGGTTCGTCTAGCAAGGGCATTTCTGATGTTGACTCATTGCCATCCTAATCAACAATAGTACATCATGGAACTTTTCTAGCAACCTATTATGAAGTCACATCTATCATTGGCTTAAGACATCTACTTTCACTACCCATGCCACTATTCCCAACAGCCCACAACATCTAGTGCCATAGTGCTCCTTTTTTTCCCCATTTTCCCCTTTCAGTGTCGCATTATTCCAATAATTAAATGCCTAGAAAATTGAAAGCTTGTTGTGCTTAATAGTCTAACTTGATCTTATCAGATGGTTTCCCAAAAAAAAGATCTGGCAAAAGTTCAACCAATGTGGCTGGATTTGTTTGAATCTTCAGTTAAATCTAGCAAGATCTTTAAGAAATTCTAGCCTCATATGAAGTGGGAACAAGAGAATTAAATTGAAAAGAAAAAGTAGATGGGAGAAAAACTGCAAGAAATCATAAGCAAAAAGTGAGATATTTCGAAGAAAGAAGCAACCACTAACTGGATTGATGAGTACAAAAGTAAAGATGTCTAGCTTATGGTCTTGGACTAAGGAGTTCACCAGAACTTGAGATAAATGTCAATGCTTTTAGTAATGATTTTAAATAAAATTACAATAAAAATTAAAATTTTCACCTCCAAATTATAATATTTAAATGCAAACTTAAATGGTAGATTTTACCATGGTCCGGTCCCAACACTTTTATTTTGGATCTACTTTCCTTCCTAGCCTTTAAATTGTCCCATTTAGGTCCCTAAACTTTTGAACCTATGTTAGTTATAAAACAAAACAAACCAGCATGTATGACGCGGTTTCTTCATTTTCTCATCTTTATCTGCAAGACCCTACACAAGCATTAATTTTAAACCAATTAATGCCATAGAGAAAGAACATAACATGCCTTGACTGTGATATCTTTATATACAGAAAGCACACCCTCCACATTTTCATGATGTGTGCGTAGCCTCAGCTTCACCTACAAAATGCAAATAAGAAAATGCAACTTGTCATTTTAACAACAGGGAACTACTACAAATGAAGACGAATCCCAAAATGATTCAAAGAAACACAATCCCAACTCAAAAGCAATCAAGCAAGGAATATCAGAGTATCAGACATGCCTTCTCTTCAGTATCATCAAATCGTTGTGTAAGCCTGGACGCAATTTCGTCATTCTCCGGGAGTAAATATTTTAAGTGGTATATCTTCCCGGTAATGGGGTCTAACCTTCTTCCAATAACTCTCTCAACAAGAATGTCTTCAGAAACCTGCAAACAAGTTGGACATGTTAAACTAGAAAGGCTTTAGACACCTATAATTGAAAACTGGTCCACGAACAAATAACAGAATGCAGTTAAAGTGGGAGATCAATTCAAGGAGCAATACAACATTCTTACATCCAACAAAATGAAAACATCAGGACGGATCCCATAATCCTCAAGAGCAGCTGCCTGCGATGAGCTCCTACGATATCCATCTAAAAGCCAACCCCTTTGTTGAAAATCAGGTTGCAGCAGACGCTCCTTGACCATCTAATACCAAAAACTATAGGATTCATGAATAGGAAAAGCATTCTACATGAACTTAACAATATCTTCCCTACCATAACAACAATTTCATTAGGGACTAATTGTCCTTTCTCCATGTATTCCTTTGCTAGCTTCCCGTTTTCACTAGAGGAGGCAATTTCTGCTCTCAATAAATCTCCAACAGAAATATGCACCAAACCATACTGAAAGAACAAATAAATATATATAATTTTCACTTCAATTGGAAATAAGAAAAAACAACCAGCAGAAATATGCACCAAACCATACTGAATGAACAAATAAATATATATAATTTTAACTTCAATTGGAAATAAGAAAAAACAACGCATAAATTTTATAAAAGAAGAGAGATTACTTTTTGGGTGACGAGCTCGCATTGGGTAACTTTACCGGAAGCCGGAGCCCCTGATATGATAACCTTCAAAGGCTCTGCCTTAGTCGATGCGGCAACCTGCAACCATCCACGACATAAAAGCATAAGCAACAAAACCCATAAACAGAATCAAATATGAAGTAAAAAAAAAGTGAATGGAATGGAAAGTTGCGATGAAATTGTGGGAATTTGGCGAGAGGGGACTCTTGGGACGGGAGGGGTTTGATTGGAACGGAGGGAAAGGGGAGTAAAAGAGGGGTGAGAAGGGAGAAAGAGATTAGGGTTGGGATTTGGGAACTTAGGATGAGGAGAAAGAGAGGGGGACAAAGAAACGCAGGGAGACGAATAGGTGCTGCTCAATATTAGCATCGTATCTCTCTCTCTCTCCCTTTGCCCCTTTGCCTCTGCGCTCTCTCTCTGGCTCTCTCTCTCTGGATAAATCTGAATGAAGTTGGGAAGATCATTTATCACTTACTTTTATTCTACAAATTATACAAATTTAATAAGCAATATAAGATTTTTAAGTTATTAAATTATTAATAATATTAATATCAATATGTTGATTTAAAAAAAATGCAATATAAGATTTTTATGTATTAAAAGTTTAAGTTCGAGTTTCAAATTCAATCGAATTAAGTTTAAGTGTTTTTATTTTTTAAAATTTCAAGTTTTTTTGAGCTTCAAGTTATGGTTTCGAGTTTGAGTCGAACTTGAAAACTTCAGGCTTGCGAGTTTTAAGTTGGGTCGAACTCCATTTAAAAAATTTCAAGTTGAGAAACTCTATTTTAAAATTTTTGAGTCGAATTAAACTTAACAATACTCAAACTCGACTAAACTCATTTATAATCCTAATTACTTCGAACAACCGTCGCCGCTAAATTCAGATAATTCTAGAGTAATGCACATTTTTCTCTCTTCAAATTTACTCCTCTTTATTGGGATTTAGTAGTTCATTTATCACTTTAATTTTATTTTAATAACTTAATTATTATTTATTTTAAATAATATATAATATTACGTTTTAATTCTATTTTGGTCATCTATCTTTAAAAAAATTAAGAAAATAATTGATATAACAAATTTTAATTACTTTTTATTTCCTAAAATATTTTCTTATTTTTTAATTAACTTAATTAAAAACTAATAAAAAATAATTAAAAATTGTCACGTCAGATTCCAACGTGTGGACAACCGATTGAATACAGCCGCCAGCAGAAAATAAATAACTTTTTAAGCGGAGGAGTTAATAGAATAACAAAAGTTTTTCAGAGGAATGAACTACAAATTTCCTCTACTTTATAACTCTACCAAATGGGATTGCAATAGCTGCATTCCTCCAGCAAAGGAAAGATTCTTTGCCAGCAAACTCGGGACTTACGATTTTGCCCATTAAAGTCTTACAATTTGCTTCACCTAGTTTTGTACTTACCAAAATTACACCCAAGAATATAACAAGCAGGACAGACGGAGAATATATATTAAGAGGTTTACTTAGAAAATTTCAGGAGATCGAATTTAAAATTTTTTGAGGAGTAAAACATGTTATGGTTAAATTAAATAAAAATTTGAAATTTTAGGACGATCAGTGATCGTCCCATCAAACTCTTTTGGTCCATCCCTAATAACAAGTATACACCAGTAGTTGCAACAATATGGTTCAGATCCTCCTGCTTAATTCAAACCCAATGTAGCTCGTTTTTAGAGCTGTTCATGTGAAGGCCTGATATATTATAAAAGCAATCCAGAAAATTCTTCACAAAACCAATTGATTAGGACAATAAGAGCGATAAAACTTTACCATATAATATAACACTCAGTAGCAAATTCTTTTTAAGCTTGGCAGTATAGTGAAACTATAAAGGGAAAGCAAAGCCCTAGTTTAAACATGTGCATCAAGTGTAACCAAGCTTTTGGGGCACTAGATTGTTTTATAAGAGAATTTACAAATCATTAAGCAAAATAAGCCAATGGTCCGACAATTGCACCATTAATATAAGTAGCAGGCTCAGAATGAGCATAATCAGATCGATCATCCGTGAATCCATCATTCTGATTCGGACCTCCAACAATGGCTCCAACTAACACGTTAGGATTCGGGTCCGACGAGTAGAAGAACGGCTGGAAACCAGCATCGCATCCAATGATCTGAGGTTGGCTTGCCTTGGAAGGCAATGAAGAGGCTCTGTGGTGTATCCTCTTGGGGAAATTGGGTCCAAATCCGACCATGTACGACATTTTATTTGGATTGTCCCCCAGTATGTAATCCACTTGTCTTTTTGCAAGTCCGATAAGTGAATTTGGAGTAACAACGAGACTGCCACAGTTGAACGTCTGCTTACTGGAATCCATGTACTTGCCATATGTGGTGAGTAAAAATGTTATGGATGTAACATATTGAAGGTTGCTTTGAGGTTGCTTGAAGTTGAACATTAGTCCTCCTACGTTTCAATTTATATTCAATTCAAAACCAACCAACAGCTAGCATGTACTAATAGTATATACAATTCTCCAAATTACCTTGTGTGTATTGGATGGTTGAATAAGGAGAATTGGGTAAGATTTTACACAAAAAACTCTCAGCCTGTTGCTTGAATTGCTCAAAGTTTTTATCCTTGTCGAGCAATGCAAGCTGCAAATAATTAAACTTAAACTAGGACACATATAGAGAGAAAGGGAAAATTGGATGGAAGACTATAAAAGTTAATTACCCTGGATAAAAAAACATAAGCACCAGCATATTTGTTGTCCCAGCTGAAGATGTCGGCTTGATCATTAGCTCCCAATGTTTTCAAAAAATTATAGTAATAAGCATCATTCGTTGCCCTCAACAACCATGAGGCACCCCAGAGCAACTCATCATTATAACCAGAATATGAGCAGTAAAAAGGGCAGACTGCTGATCCAAGTGAGTCACTGTATGCGCCACGATATTGAATAGCAAACGCCATAACTTCTCTTGCTGTCTGAAGCAACAAACTCGAGTATTTGGGATCCACATTCCGGAAGACCAGGGAGGCAGCTGCCAATGCAGCAGCCGTCTCGGCAGCAACATCCGAGCCGGGGTTGCTTGGGGTTACAGAGTAAACAGTTCGGACAGTGCTAATGTCCTCAGGCCGTTGCCAGCACTTGTGATCCACATTGGGGTCACCCACACCTACATAGAGTTTCCCAGGCGTGGCCCTGGCACATTTCAGGAGATAGTCGGTCGCCCAGCGGATTGCAGCACTTGCCTCTTGTAATTGAGGACCCATTCTATTCCCATATTCAAGCGTGCTCCATGACAGCATTGTGGTGGTGAACGCCATTGGGAAGTTGAACTTCACATTGTCTCCAGCGTCGTAGTAGCCTCCAGTTAAATCTACCTGAATCCGACACAAAATGCAATTTATTTTATTATATCTATCTGCAGAATATATGTGCATGGTGGTGACCAAAAATAAAACTGAGAATAAGAAACATACATGGTCAAGGGAACCATCAGAAAGGCCAGAATTTGACCTCCAAGAGACCTGCTGGTTGGCAGGCAGGGTCCCTGACCTCTGTCCTTGGAAGAAAAGAAGGGATTTAAGCAATGCATCTTTATAATCTAGATTCCCCTCCACACCAACACCATTTCCTAGCACTAGAAGTGTCAGTGAACCCATGAACAAGAAGAGTCTGCTCGTCATTTGGTACTGTATGATTGACTGTTATTTAACGTGGGTTAAACTAGAAAACTGCTTGACTATTTATAGGAGAAAAGTGTATCGAAAATTAATATTTTATTGACCAAAAATAATTATTTTCTGAAATCCGTAGACGGAAAATCATACCAAACAATATAATGGACTGATTACATGATTTTTAATAAGTATTTTCCAAAAACAATCAGGATAATAAATATATAGTAAATGAGAGATTGAAAAATTCTTTGTAATTGGAAATAAAATCCAAAAAATTCAAACGGAAAGACTATGTAGGTTACAACCCCGCCATGTTATTGTGCTTTAAATAGAAATAAACTTTATAAAATCATAAACTTATATAATAATAATAAAGAAATCATAATTACAAGACTTACCATATAATAATGAATTACAAATCTGCTTGAATAAGAAAAAATATATTTATTGAGACACTGGAATCTAGTAATTAGAATTAACCTTTATCATGAGTAGAAATTATAAAGCAAACCAAAATAAAAAATAATTACTTCCGTTGCGATATGTATCTGTTGAAAATTATAAGAAATTACTCGACATCTTTTATGATAATCTTAAGTATAAGATGAAATCAAAACAAAGGATAAATAAAAAAGAATTTTGTAAAATCCAAAATTTGACTCTGTTATAAACATATGGCCTAAGCTGTCATATTAGGCCTTTTGAATAATCCAGACATTTAAATTATAATTTTTTTAAAAATAATTATTATTTGCCGATCCATAAGATAATTGGTAATATAGAGTATGGAATTCAAATCATGTAATGCAAAATGTGAAGCACCGACACAAAATATGTTCATAACAAAATAACTCATAAGTGTTACAAATTCAGAAATAGGACTAAAATACAAGTAACATCTATATGAATACGCATGCCCTCTAAAAGACCAGTGATGCACTTTGAATAAGCAGTATTGGAGATTCTTTTTACTGAAGATGCTCCCACGAGTCAAGCAAAATCTACTAACCTACAAAAAAAAAATTAAATTGAACACTAAACTTTACCAAGTAATACACATATACTCTATTGCGGTCTATACAAGACATAAACATAAACAAGTAAGCAAACATTTACATGATGTGTGAAAATATATATTCATTGGGACGAATTTAAGGATTCTTATTATTAATTTACATTCAAGGTTATCCCTTTACTGAAGTTGGTAACTCGTGCCCATTAATGCTTCAATGATATCACTTTAGTAGAGTGTCAACAAATGCATTTCATAAGCATAAATGCTACTCAAGTTGTTTTTCGAGTAAATGCTACAAATATCATATATCGCGTAATTGTCACTAAGGTCACATATTGTGTAAGTGCCACTAAAATCGTATTCGGTACATAATTTTCAATAGTGTTCTATTCTGTGTCATCTTATTCATAAGTGTTCAATTATTGATTTACCTATTCATTCAAGGTATGTTATGAAAGGTAAGTTGTAACACCCTCAATCCATACCCGACCCGGATAAGAGTCCAGGATGTCACATTGACTATACAAAACAATACTCTTAAAAAAACGATAAAACATTTGAACTTATATTATTAAAATACAAAAATATACATATGTTAATACAAGTTTATCAAACTACTCAGAGCATACACAACTTGACCCTTTGATTACATGCCAACATTCATTTACATAACAAAATGACCTACTGATTAAGTTTGCTCTGATCTGATAGTTACAGGAGTAGTGTTGTCCAGCTGCTTAACCTGTCTCGTCTACTTTCTCGGATCCTACGTGTGAAACACTCACACGCTAATTCATCGACTTAGTGAGGCAATATAATAATAATAATAACAACAAAGAAATGTAATAAAAATGCCATAATAAAATGGAATGAGATGAAATCAAATACTTAACCATGCAATTTATATCACCATGTTTCTTACCTGTAAGCATAGTACATTAACATTCATGAATTCGTATTAATAAGATTATTGGCCCATGATACCATACTGAGAACCTAAGGTATGTGAGTACTGTGAGGTTGTGCACTATGCTGTCACCACAGCTCGTATAAATGCACCGAAGTGCCACGTAGAATTGCACCGAAGTGCCACGTAGAATTGCACCGAAGTGCCACGTAGAATTGCACCGAAGTGCCGCGTAGAATTGCACCGTAGTGCCATATAAGATTGTCCCTAAGGACCACGTAGAAAATTCCTTAAGAAGCATATATATATGTGCCAAGGATCAAGTATGTGTCTCAAAAGACCTCACACATGTTCCAAAGAATACATATATGTCCCGAAGGACCGCGTAGACCCTCTACTTTTGGCATGCCAACTATACCTATAGTTCTCATCTACATAACATGGGCTTTTCCCAAATTACATAATATATCACATAGACATATCATTTCCTTACCTTCATCACATGGCTCATATATCTTTGCATACATATTCATTTAAAACATGTTACACAATGCACATAATATGAATTCATATCATGCTTCGCAATATGAAATGAATCATGCATCAGTGTATTGAATCTAGACTTCTCACAAGTCTATAACTGAATATATCTCTATAATCATGTTATGCATATGCAATCACCTATATTTTCTTGCTTTTTCCTCGATCGATCTTACTAGGCAATTGTTCTGGAACTTGTTTGGGCTCTGTATCTACATAGTAATTCATTGATACTTATCAGTATACTAATTAATATATTATAAACTATCATTTATTGGGCTAAAAGAAAAGCCATTTCATCTTTTAATGAAGGTATGCATCGATGCACTACACCATGTATCGATGCATCCCTTGACGAGTTCATCGATACACTGATGGCATTCGATGTTTTTATTTTAAAGGAGTGCATCGATGTACTTCATGTGCATCGATACACCTTGAACAATTTCTGGGATTTATCATTGATGCATCGGTACACATTGAATTTGCATCAATGCACATAGCCCAGAAATGTCATTTTAGCACAAAAATCTCTTCATCATCTTCTCAACACTTTATATTTCCCCTCTTTTTATATCCCTAACTTGCATACACTTACTTAAACTAATTATTATCTATTCAATACTTCTAAAACTTAGAAATCCAATCCTCCAAATATAATTTAATAATCTCACTCAAATTCCAACATGTTCTAATTTTAATTCTAACACTTCATATTCTTTAATTAGCTTGATGACAAGTCAAATCCCACTTCTAATTCTTATTATGAACTCTATTATAAGATTTCACTTTTCTACTTCATTTCTTTAATCCTTCCTAACTCCATCATCTTTTGATTTTAAGATAAACTAAGCTTTCCGTAAGCTTAGTTATCATCTAATGATCAATAAGCAACCTTAAATTCATCAAGAATTTGATTAACAAGAAAACTCACCTTTAGCTTGGCTTCACGATGAAGAAGAAGAGAAGTCTGGAACTTTAGTTATCCCTCAATTGCCTTCCACGTGGGTATAAAATATCCTCAACTAATATTTAATTATTTCACTTATTAAAAGACTAATTTATCCCTTTAGTTCCTCCTTCTTTGTTAATTGATCCTACACAAAACATTTCAATCAATTCTTTGAACTTTTCAATTTATCCAATTAGGTCACTAAATTTTTAAATCTCACAATTTAATCACTAACCCGATATGGAGGATGTTACAAATCTCCCTCCTTCAAGAAAAATTCGTCCTCGAATTTTCATTGTACGAACAGATGAGGATATTGAAGTCGCATATCTTCTTCACGTTCCCACGTGGCTTCTTCTACCTTGTGATTTCTCCAAAGAATTTTGACTAACGGAACCATTTTATTTCTCAATTGCTTAACGTCGTGAGCCAATATTTGTATTGGTTCCTCTTCATAGGTCAAATCAGATTGAACTTCTAGTTGTTCTGGTGCAACAATGTGAGAGGGATCGGACCTATATCTTCGTAACATGGACACATGGAAAACATTATGGATTTTCTCCATTTCTGGTGGCAAAGATAACTGGCATGGCACTGGTCCTATTCTTTTAACAACTTCATATGACCCGATGAATCTAGGACTTAGCTTTCCTTTCCGACCAAATCGTAATACTTTTTTTCCATGGTGATACCTTCAGGAATACTGTATCCCTAACTTCAAATTCAATATCCTTTTTTTTGAGGTCAGAATAGGACTTTTCCGATCAAATGCCACTTTTAGGTTATGTTGGATTTCCCGAACTTTCTCTTCCATATCTTGAATCAAATCTGGACTAAGTAAACTTCGATCTTTGAGCTCATACCAGTTTAATGGTGTACGACACTTCCTCCCATATAACGCCTCATAGGGTGCCATTTTAATACTGGAATGATAACTATTGTTGTAAGCAAATTCCGCCAGTGGTAAGTATTTCTCCCACGACCCTTTAAACTCAATGACACATAGCGAGCCCCCAACGCTCCATGCAAGGATTTTCATAATCTCGAGGTGAATTGAGGATCTCGATCAGAAACTATAGAAACAGGCACTCCATGCAATCTAATAATTTCTCTAATATACAGTTCCGAATACTTTTCCATGGAGAAATCTGTCCTGACAGGAAATAAATGTGTTGACTTGGTCAATCGATCAACAATTACCCAGATTGAATCTCTTTTGTTTGGAGTCAGGGGTAACCCCGAGACAAAATCCATCGTTACATTTTTCCACTTCCATTATGGAATAGAAAGTGTTTGCAATAACCATACGAAACTTGATGTTTGGCTTTGACTTGCTGACATGTTAAGCACTTGGACACAAATTCAGTAATGTTTCATTTCATCCATGGCCACCAATACCGATCTTTTAAATCCATATACATCTTGGTTCCACCCGGGTGCATCGTCAATGGACTGCAATGAGCCTCTGTCAATAAATCTTTCTTCAACTCTTCATCGTCTGGTATGACAATTCTTTCTTTATAATACAATTTCCCATTAGACTTCACCTCAAAATCCTTAATTTCTTTATTCTTTACTTGCTCTATTCTTTTC